CCGAATGGAATTCAATGCTTGGAGATGAGATTTGCCAGAACCTAATCAAGTCAATGCCAAAAAGGGTTGACAAAGTTATTCAAAATAAAGAAAGACCCATAGATTAATAAATATTTCGAACTATATTACCTATTATAAATAAATTATACCTCTATTATTCCTTATTTAAAGCTGTTCGGTTATGTTTCTATTGTTTACTAGTTGCAGGAAATAATTGAGTCACTTTTTTGCACAGAGTTTTTCCCTAAATCTCATTTATATCCTAAATTCAGGAAGGGGTCTTTATACTAGTAAGATTAAAAATTAGTTTGACCCCAAAAACAACAGTCGAAAAAATTTTTAAATAAAAAAAAATCAGGTTTGTCGCTTTTATCAAACAGCACTGTATATATATATATATATATATATATATATATATATATATATATATATATATATATGTACGCATGAATATATATGTATATAAAATGACAGGGACATCTGAGGTGTGTACATGTCCTTGTGACGATATTCGTATGGCCAACATTATGGCGTTTGATGTATGATATTTTCTGCCGTCGAAATTTTGGATGTAAGTTTGTAAATAAATTTGTGTACGTATGTGTGTGTACGTGTTTTATATCTCTTTGTGTGAAACTGTGTGTACCTATGTGTATGTGTGTTTATATAAGTATATACATATATATATATATATATATATATATATATATATATATGTATGTGTGTGTGTGTGTGTGTGTGTGTGTATGTGAGTGTGTGTTCGTGTATATTTGTGTCTGTATGCGCACGCGCGTCTGTGTGTGTGTGTATCAGTGTATGGACTTCTGCGTTATGGAAACAATATAATATACTGGGAGTGCCAAATTGTCTCGCTAATCTAATACTTTAACTCCTTACTTTCATGTGTGATGGAGTGCGAAAAGACAACGATGGGTATTTCGCTTCGATTCACCCTAATTGGCACTTGGATATTTCTCACATTCTAAAAATCTCTTGCAAAAAATTAAGACCAGACGAAGCACTTTCTTTATTCTTCTTCGCATAAATACCATTTCAAAAGAAAAGAATCCTTTAACAAGTACACTCCTCTTGCTGAATTCTAAACCAAACAGCATATATTTTGCGAAAAATAGGTGAGCAAAGTGTGAGAGATAAAACATCTTTTGATTCATTGTTTTTCCTTGCCTAAAAAAATTCGTCTGGTCTACGTTAACCTTAATTTCAGCTTCTCCAGTCTTAGACATGATACTTGATAACACCGGTGATTTAGAATTAAATATTCACCAATTTTTTTCTTATATACGCTGTTTCCTCTCAGGATATAGGTGATCATTGCTCTCTAAATCTTCCTGTCACTTGCACCTATTAAAAATTTTGTCTGTTATTTCTCTCAAACCCCGTTCTACCATCCAATTACTCATGCCTCTCAAGTATGTTACGCGCTGATTTCCTTTCTCCCTTTTTCTCCTTATCTGCCCTGTGAATATTAGATTTTCCAAGCCCGCTTTTCACATTGCCCTCAAAATTTCAACACATTCTTCCTGATGTTAAGCATATGTTTCCTTTTTGTGTCCATTTTTTTAAAACCTTGTTGTTGCTCACATGTTCGGTCCATTGCATCCTCAGCATCTTTCTGTAGAACCACACTTCTCTCTTTATCTTTGAGGAGATTGTCCAGCATTCGCTGCCATACAGGAGGGCGAATATCACGTAACAGTTCAGTACTCTTTACCTTCTTTCAAATAAAATATTTCTGTCTCTTAATGTTTTGCTTTGTTTTGGAATGGTTGTTTGGCCATCCAAATACAGCTTCGGATTTCAGTGTCACACTTTCTAGCCTCTGTGAAAATCCTTCCGAGACTGATCTTGAAGACGCATGCCAAATATTTAGCTAAGATCGCATCACCACAGGCTGGCTTGCTTCACTACAGAGTCTGTCTGGGTCAGGCATCTTGATTCTTCTAATTTTTGCAGCCATCTTGGTTTCCTTTTTGGGATATATATCAAAACTTAAATAAAAACCATTCAATGCTGTTTGATATTCACGTAAAGGGGGGATCATCTATCCTATAGTTTACGATCTTGTGCATTTGATGCATTCTATTTTGCACCACCTAAGGGTGCACAGTAATTGATAGCGACTCGGAATGTGGAATCAGAGAGAAGAGTTCGAACTCCAGTCTAGTTCATTACGTTACATTACTTACTTGCTAATACCGTAGTGATTAGATTTTAGCCAAATCCTTGGCATTCGTATGGGAAAGGTATGATTCCATCTCTCCCCGCCCAACTACGAGAAAATAACAGAAAATCTTGAGCTCTATAAGCCTTGTTTAGCAACCAGTCTAGACGAAGAAAAACTCTGGAGTCAAACCAGCTTAGAGGGGTTGTGATTGCCTATGAAACCCCACTGCTGCTTTGGATGAAGTAGATGCGCTGTCCCGACAACAAGTCGGATTTTTATGAGAGTCGTGATCGTGTATCGTCATCTGCATCATTAACATTGCCCGTTGATCTATTTGTTCCTGAAGTCGAAAATAGGTCTAGGGAGGTCATTCTCAAATTGCTCAAGGAAACGGACACACTCGAAAAATAAACTAAAATGTATTTTCTAGAATGAAGGTTGTTATATAGGAATAAAGTGTCGCTGTTGAAGGTTGAGTTTGAACAGAGATCGCCAGTGAGCAAACACCGGCGATCTTATTATTGAATTAAGTAGACCACGTGATCATAGCAGAAACACATATAGTAGGACGTAGATGACGATTAACGATCTCTATTTCTAGTCTATCCTCTATTACTATACGGACCGCTATTCTCTTTTTTACTACACTATTTCTCTATACGCATTACTATTCGAGTGAGTATTATCGAGCAAGTACGATTAGTGCGAGTGATATTCGAAAGTGTCTTACACTAGTATTGTTCAACGGCATTACTATCGATACATCTGCGATTACAAAGTCTCTACTATAACGAGGATGACGAAAGTAGTAACGATTCGTTGGCATTACAAAAAATTACGAAATATTTTAGATTGTTCTTTCTTTGAGAATACTGTCCTTAATCTAGGCTCGAACACCGACTAGTTATTTTTACATGGCTTTATTTAAGCATTAGTTTACCCAGAGGAGAGAATAGCGCTGATGCTTGTACGATAAAAAACAATTTAATTTGAGGACATAAGCAATTACCAACCTGCTAGCTTTCATAGCTCTAAGCAACATTTGTTCTCTTCGCTTTGCCCTTCATTTATACAAGCGTATTAAGATGAGTGTTTCTCGCTATTTCCTTTGCATTTCTTGTTTTAAATGTGGTCTGAGAGTGTGAAATTAACAATGCCAGTGTCTATAATTGCGTTCTAACATAGGAGACTTACATTCAACGCGAGAGGCAGCGGTGAAAAGATGTTATATAAACTGTGTTCAGAAAGTTTTAAAACAAATGAAACTGAGAGAGTCAGCAGGGAGAGAAAGCGAGAAAATGCGTTCGTCTCGTGATTCCTGCAAGCGTCAGTGAATCCGACTCGTCTTGAACTTTAATTTCCTCTTCTTCAGTCGGACGCAAAAGACTTAAGCATTCCAATGATTTAGAATTTAACGGTCCATTAGTTTTCATTCGGTGTGAAATTTAAATACAGACTTTACTTGGATTTTTTGTTACTGGTAGAAGTTTTTTTTTTAAATGGAGTTCAGAAGGAGGCTCTGTTAGTGTAAAGCATATCGTAACAGAAAGTGATTTTTTGTTACTGGGAGAAGTTTTTTTTTAAATGGAGTTCAGAAGGAGGCTCTGTTAGTGTAAAGCATATCGTAACAGAAAGTGATTTTTTGTCACTGGTAGAAGTTTTAAATGAAGTTCAGAAGGAGGCTCGGTTAGTGTAAGGTATATCGTTGCAGAAAGAGATTTAGGCGTACCCAGTTTAATATTCGCTCGGTCCTTTTTCGCTCATTTTGGAAAGAAAAGCATGGGCACGGCTTCCTGCTCTAACTTTGGGTTCTCTTGCCTAATGGCGGCAACAAATCTAAGAGAAGGAAAAACACTGAATTCAAAACAAGCGCGAGGAAGACTTGATCTCCGACAGGCTATCTTGCCCTAGACACACCACTTTCGCTAAGATGGCAGCAAAATGTGGTGCCTCTGCCACCTCAATGAGTTGGCACACACACACACACACACACACACACACACACACACACACACACACACACACACACACACACACACAGAGTTCAGAAGGTGAAGATATTTTTTTTATAACTCTCGTGCAATTATCGATATCTGTAACATTTGGTAAAAAATAGAGGAGAATGTATTAAAGTCAGGGATTAGGAAGAAAAAAAATGATCTTTCTTAAAAGTAGCCACACAGTTGGAAATATATCATATTTCTGAAATACAATATATATCTTAAGGACAGTTTCGGGTCACAAGAAAAACGAAAATATTAACCTCAGAACACATGGTATGTTTTTAAAGAGACTTGTCAGTTGTAAATATTCATATGATTCGTGGATTGCTTTATTTGTTTTCTACGGTTTATCAACCCTTTGCAGGTTATTTAAAGCCAGAAAATATTTTTAGATTGTAAGGATTTTTTAAAGATAAGCACATTGAACATGTACTAAAGCTGCACTAGGAGTAGTCTTGGACAACACCACACGTTGCTGCAAAGCCAAAATATTAACCTAAGAACTCGTGTCATGTTCTTAAAGAGTTTAAAGACATTCATATCCTTGATGGATTGATTCGCTTTTTACAATTTATCGACCCTTTGCGGGTTATTTAAAGCCAGATAATATTTTTAGATTGTAAGAATTTTGAGGGGATATTATAATGGTTTAGTGACACAAGTTTTAGCAATTCCTCCATAGTTGGAAGGGGGAGAGGTGGAGCCATAACTGTCTCAAGGGTATTTGCCCCTATGTGAATATAATGAAATCAACTGAAATTGGAACTCGGCTTTCCAATTTCCAATTCGGAGCCATTATCTCTAGATCAAAGATTACAACACCTAGTATTCCCAAGTGGTCACCCATCTAGGTAATGACCAGACTCGACGTTGCTCAACTTCGGTGATCCTACGGAAGCCGGTGTTTCAAAGTGATGTAGCCTTCTCATATGAATGTCATGCATGACATTAAATGCGTTCAGAAATGTGTAAACTATAAAGTCGCTCGATAATATAAATGATTAAAACTGTTTTAAAGCGAAGGAATCTTCTCGGTTTCAAAGAAGTGAATAATTCTTCAGGTCTTAGAGTCTGACGCTAAAGAATCACAAATAACGAACTCTATCAAATTACATAAAAACGAATCACTTTAAAAATTCCAATAGCGGTAACAACTAAAATGGATATCATATATAACTGGAAGGGGAAATAAGAATTTAAAAAAGTTAATTTTTCACCTTATCTTAATTTAAATGATTAGAATGAAACTCCTGTCCGTACAAAAAAGTGCGATAAAAGTCTATTTAAGAAGTTTATTACCATGAAAAATAGTTTTCCAAAAATATACAGGGTGTCCAAAAACATTTGAGATCATTTTAAAAGTAATTATCTTGAAAACTATTAAGTCTATCTCAATGAAATTGAACAGTTTAGGTGTTGAATATCATAAATTTATTATCTGACCGATTTCATAAGTGTTCAATATTTACACAGACTGTGACACGGCACACATCAAGTTGGTAGTTAAGATCTTACCAAATACGATGATATTGATGATGGTCTACAAGATCCTTTAGTCCTGCATAACCAGCCTTCCTTTTTAAATTTTTCGTACTGTGACGTCGTCCCCCGGTCGCAGCGCCAACTGTGACGTTCTATCCTGATCTACCACGGCGCCAGTTGTGACGTCCCCAAACAGCACCAATTGTGACGTCCTCGCCGCGGCGCCAGCTGTTCGCTCCTCGCTGCTCCGTCCGGTTGTCGCTGCTCCAAACGTGACGTCCGCCTGTCGCGTCAGTCGTGTTGTCTCGTCCTGTGACGACCAACTGGCTTGGTATCGGTCGCGGCACCCAAATGTGACGTTCTAACCTTTTGATGATTCGGGTGGGAATCTGGTTAGTTTTGATATCAGCCTCGTCGTTCCCAACTCGCTTCCAATGCCTGGTTACCAAGGTAAATGCATTGATCTCCAGTCTGCCTACCCACGTTGTGAATTGATCTTAGACAGACGAGATCAAACAGTGGTTAGCCGTAATGCAAATTGAGTTCAACGGGGGTGATACTACACAAATATGCATAAAAGAAAATAAAATGAAAACTCAAAAGTTCAAAGTATCAAAGAAAAAGGTAACAAACTTTATGTCTAGTTGTTCGATACATAGGACTGCATCTATCTCCCCGACCCGTTCTGTGGATTGTGACACGTCGTTTCCGCTAGGCAAGTTTTAACGCTTCAAGTTGTTTGCTCTCTAAGAAATTGGTGTTTCGGTGTGTCTTTGGACGAAAGTCGAAAACTTATTTCGGTGGTCTGGTTCTAAGTCGCTCTTCAAAATAATTGTTTTTTGGTTGAAGAGGAGTCCGAATTTTGCGTGAATCTTGGTCAGCTATCTGCGAGGCGGTTTCAACTGGAGACTGACTCTTGGAACTCAACTCTGGAAACTCGAGCCCGAACTGATTTCTGCCTGTTGGGGCCTCGCTTTTATTGACGCCGACCAAAACCGGGGTGGTTCTGTTGGCGTCGGGGGGTTTCTCGATAATTCTAAATACATATCCACCTCTTTTATTTCTGGTTAGGGATTTTCCACTCTTTTCCATTTTTGGGCACCCTTCCTCACTCCCACTTTCTCACCATACCTCTGAGGGGCGTGAACTTCCCTCCCCACTTCTTCGTAGCAGCTTCTCATACTTATACTCTGGATGGGGCGTCGACAGCCTTCTTCGCGCGTCACGGCCACTCTCGGCCAATGAGATCTTGGTCGGGTATCTTTCCTCCTCCTTCGTGCGTCACGTGATCACCACTTGACCAATGATGTCTTAGTCGGGCGTGAACAATCCGTGGCTTTGTTTCGGGAAAAAAAATTATCTTGCTTAACTAAAAAAAATTATCTCTTCTCTTTCCCTTTTCTTCCTTTCAATCGCCGTTATCACCCTTCTAGTCGCAACGGACAATATGACAAGTCTTGTGTTACACGTGGTGTTTGTCAGGTATTTTATCGCTAATTTATCAAGATGGGTGGTATTCTTAACATGGCTTCAAAAAAGAAATATCCCCAAAGTTTTCAGTCAGTCTGTCGCCTCCAAGGAAGAAAGAAAAACACTTCTGGGTCCCCATTCATTTTACTTCGGTACATATTCCTGATAACATAATTTTATTATCGCAGGCCAAAGGTGTTTCGTCGAAAAGAATTCGGTCAGCGAGACTGCTTGTGTGGGATTTAATTTTTCATATCTGTCCAAAGTCCTTTTTAGTGGCCTGTTTCTCGTCACTTATCGAAATAGCATTTTCATTTGAATTTTTCCCTGGCCAGTGGTCCAGCCTAGATAACACAGCCATTATCAAAACACATCTGATTCCTTCTTTCTTTCCCTTTCTTTTTTACTCAGAAATTCCCTGTCATTGTAATGACACCCTTTTTCATTTGTTACTTATCAATATTTTCATTGTCTCTTAGCCGTGTGTGTGTCTGCTTATCACCTACGATTCGTCTCGCCTTTCTTTCTGCCTTCCTTTCTTTCTCTTCCTTTCTCTGCCTCGTAAATGGTGCCATAACCAAGTTCAAATTTGTTTGCCAGTTGGTGAAGATTTTCCAAATTTTGCATTGAATGTATGCTGCATAGTCTTGTATGATGGTCTGCAAGCAAATTCCAAGACGCAAAATGACTTCTCTTTGGAGGGTAAACGGCATGGATCAACCTAAAACAAACATAAATAAAACATTAAGTACAGGGTGTCCATAAAGTTCATGTGCTCTTTAAAAAATTATAACTTTCTTTGTATTTACGATAGAAATAATCTGTAAAAAATGTTATAAAGTTTAATGTACCTAGTTTTAAGTATAGCTAAAATAACTAATGTGATTTCAGGCATTACTGTAAATCAGTTCGCAACAGTTTTCCGTGAACTGCAAAATCGTATTACCCTTTGTATTGCTAATGATAGAGGACATGTGGAAACTTAAATAAAATTTCAATAAAACCTTACAAAAATATAGATTTACTTCTTTCTAATCTTTTTTACAAATTATTTCTATCGCAAATACAAATAAAGTTATAAATTTTTTAAAGTGCGCACGAACTTTATAGATACTTTGTATAAATTCTTGATCTTTTTCTATACATTCTCTGAAAATTTGATGTTATTTCAACAAGAATTGCCAAAATTATTGTCGTGTGAAATGACGTCAGTTCTTTTGAGACACCCTGTATTTAAACCGACAGTCAAACTGACTGTTCGGACAATGGATACCGATCGTTTCCTAAATAGAAATAAGATAGGTGACCGCTTTGGCATATCATTCTTTAAACTTGGATGTGTGGGTGGTGTAATGGATAACACGGCGGAATTATTAAATGGAGAGTCGAGTTCCAATTCCTGATGAGTGCGTTATATTCATTTAAGCACCTGATAAACTTGGGAATCCGTATCTTCTCCCCCATCTATCGGTTAATTAGTTAGACTTTTTTTTAACTAAATCATTATTATCCACCCACCAAAAAAAACCCTACAGTCTAAAAAATATTTTTCTGGGTTTATATAACCTGCAAAGTGTTGGAAAACCGTAGAAAATGAATCAATCCATCTATCTCTGTATGGAAACGCTATTCTCACCATTATCATTGTCATTGTTGGAGACGGGTTTAAATCTCCAGGCGTCTCTCTCTCTCTCTCTTCAAGCTAATATATCACAACGTAAATCTGTCTTTAAATGCCTGTATATCCAGCACAAATATATATTCAAGTTTTTTAACAAATAATATTTTTGTTGTCTTCATTTTTACCAAAGCGTTTCTTCCATTACTTTCTAGAGTTTTCTGCAGATAGAGAATTCAAAGGCAAACGGAGCGTGATGGCCATTCAAAGAATTACTCGAACTAGTAATCGTATATATTTTTTTTCTTTTAGATCGTTACTACTTTGTATCAGCTGATAAATTCTTTAGATTTCTTCAAACGAACACTCAGTAAAGACAGGAAACTCTGGCAGAAATGTGTATAGCTGGGGAAAGCTACATGCGATTTGTATATTTGACACTGCATTTTTTTTCCTTTTATTACCGTTTCTGAGCAGAAAACATTCGCATTATGCACATGAATAAATCTTTAGAATTACCTACCCAAGCGTTGTAATGACAAAAAAGAAAGGAGATGAATCTCTCCCCCAAATTGTTGCAATGATGTTGTCCTCTCTTACTTTCTGGCTTGCACATGTGCTGAATGCTACAGAATGAATAGGCTGAAATAGTGTGATAAGAAAGAGAGTTGCCAAAATAATTCAAGCAACTCTTGGGATGATACTGAATTTTCTAAACTCACAGAAGTTATTTCTGTTGTCAGAGTTAAAAGCAAGCTCCACAAAGATTGTCCTTTCTTGGCTTTTATGAAAGGAAGACCATAATTTTAAACGGGATCCGTTCAAAATTACAATTCCTAATAAAAAAAAGGATAAAGAAAAACAGAAACATCTCTAAATTTAAATTAGGTCATTAGGATTTCTATATCACATTTATGGTTTTGGCCTCCAAGAAATAATAGTTTCGAAAGACAGTTTTCTACTGTGATAGCAAATATATTATGACCTTATAAAATAACAATTGAGTTATGCTTTACTATAGATAGCAAATACAATCCAGAACTTATGGCGATCATCTCTTTCCCACCTTTCAAATTTATATCAAGCTAGAAATTTTATCAATCTATATATCTTTCAAATGTTATTGCTGTTTGCCTTTTAAAATACTTACGAAATCTGCTAAAAGTTCGAGGGGATGACAGAGGTATGGACAAGTTGTTAATATCTATCTATCTATCTATCTATTATACCTATTCTATTGTAATAGACTCTCCCACAGATAATAAGTAGTAGTAGCAGTGGCCAGTTGGGCTCAGTGGTGTTGAGTGAGTCAGTCGATGTCGGACATTGAAGTATCAACCATCA